TTTAATAAATAAATTTAACTAATTAGTTAAATATGTGTCTTATTCTTGTTTATGGTTACCATACGATATTGTTTGACTTGTTTGCAAAATTAATTAAAATCACAAACTTTGATAAATAGTTTATTTATAATACCCACATTTTACCTTTAAATGTAAAATTTGGACTTTTCAAAACAATGTACCATTAAATACCAATAAATGGAGAACTTATGTGTACCATTAAATACCATTAAATCAAGAAGTTGGTACCACTTTTTGTTTTGCTTCACCTGGCAACACTGCCAGGACTGACTCCCCGAACTTTATTGCCAATACTGCTATTGAATAGCCATAGAAATGATATTATTTCTATGTGAAGAGCATATAAGTAAAAATTTTGATTTGTGGTGCCAATACACACAAGTGTACAAGTGAAGTGAGGGAATTATAATTAACCCTACGTTTGGTGACTTCGTACAAACTATAGTGTAAAATCACGGCGTTCTCTAACCAGGCGGGAGTGTAGCCCCCACTCCTGCATCGAAACTGTGACGTCAGGAGGCCGATCTGATCAACGTCCGCCTATTGTATTACATTGCTTTGCAACCAAAGTTATGGATTATTATTGCTTTTAAGGAGTATTTCTTACCAAAGCAGTGGACAATGCATAGTACATATTTTATCAAAGCAACAGAACAATATGTACTAAGTAATTTATTAAAAACAAACAGAGAACTGCTATTAAAATAGAAATTTATTTAAAACAAACAGAACTGCACACAAAAAATAATTCTTTAATTTTAAAATAACGATTTTTTGGATTTTTATATTTAAAATAAATATAGTCTAATTTTTATAATATGGAATATGAAATAATAATTTTGTTAAGTTTAATTTTATAAAAAAATTAGTTTAATTGATCTATTACTATTATGAATAATTACTCTAATTAAATTTTCTTGTATTTTAAATATAGAAATTATACTCTTTTAAATATTAAAGTTTACTTAAAATAAATTAATATAGGTATTCATTTAAAAAAACAAGTTTGCAACAAAACATAATAGATTTAATTTAAATAAAAAAGTAAACTTATATTTGATTTGAATTAAGAGTACCTACCTATAATATTTTTGTGTATATACTTATAACCATAAAAATGTTGGTTATTTAATGTAAATAATTATTTTTTTGTGTATGCTCTTAAAATAGTAATTTATTTAAAACAAACATACAACATTGGATTAATTTATAAGCGCAATAGAATAATTTATATTGCGCTATAAATAATAAGATTAACCAGTCTTTTTGGCTAATGTCAAAGGGCCATTTGAAGCATGAAAAAGGGGCAAATCATAAAACTGTTTTTATAAAAAATATTGTAGGTAATATAGTATTTTGGCAAACAATTGTTAAATATATTCTTTTTTTATTAGGCCGTACAATAAATAAAAGAAACCCAAGCAATACTTCTACAAAAGTAGAGATAATTTTAATAATTGATAGTCGACAAAAGAATTTTTCTGCTGAATAAAAAGGGGACGGCAAAACTGTTCAAAAAAACCTCAGGCCGGCTTTGACAATCAGTAATTCATATGAAACTGTCTTGCATTACCTCGATAATAAATTAATTTTCCTGTTAGGAACGCAACATTTTCTTGGTATTTTTTATTTATTTATAATGTTATAAAAGCAGCAAACTAATGCAATAATTAAATTAACGTTAAATCAAGCGATATCAATCGAAAAGCAATAGATAATTTATATGAAACTGTCTTGTATTACTGCGGTTATACATTAATTTGCCATTGCAGTCGGCCTCCTGACGTCACGCCTCCCACTACCACACTCTCGCCTGGGATAGAGAACGCCGTGGTAAAATGCATTCAGCATGACAGAAACTGAACCTGCCGGTGAACGCTGATGTAGCAGAAGTCGCTGTCGACGTCCCACCGTTTTGGCAAAAAGAACAGCCCTTTGGTTCTTCCAAACAAAAAAACAGTTCCACCCAGCAAAAAGAACTCAAGGCCATACAAAGTAAGCATACGTTATTGTCCAACTCGATAGCAAGTATGCTGCAGAAGTAAAGAACACATTGATTCTTTAATAAAAGTACATTAAAATTACTGAATTTGTCAAATGTCTGTCTGTATCGCAGAAGCAGAAAATGGAGGCTGAAGAAATGGGAGATTGTAAACATTCCCAATTCCTCCAAAACACAAGATTGCTTGCTGAAGTGACGAAAGTTTAGGTAAATTCTAAATTAAACAAATTTTGACCTCAAGTATTAAAAACTGGCCAGTAATCCAGTTAAAGCAAGGCAAAATCATTTAATACAACAAAATAGCAATAGCAAATAACTAGGAAATGTAAAAGAAGAAACAAGGTCCTTTTTTGTAATGAAAAACTCGCCAAATTTATTGTATGAAGAGAATATTTATATTCTCTTTATAAATTAAATCTATCAAAATTAAGAATAACAAAAATGGGTTTGTTTTGTAAGTATTTATAATAATTTATTTAATAAGAATTCACCAAAAGACTTCTTTTAAAATGAATAATATTTACATACACTTTTTCATTCAATAAATTTTATAAAGGAAGTACAAATAAATTAAAAACTAACCATTTTTATATTTTTTACTTACCAATAATAATTTTATCAATGCAAACATTACTGTCAAGCATACAAATTTATGTAACCCAATCCTAATTTTACCACTGAAACAATATTTCAAAAATGTATACGGGGTGGTTCAGTTCATATTGTCAATTGAATTGAATTAATTTTTAAGATAAATTATGTTAAAGTTATAAATTTGTTCAGGTTTTATAAATTTGGTATGCATTTACATCTAAAATTTTTTTTTTAGGTATTTTTGTTTTTTAATATATTGTGTATTTGTCGAGGTATTTTTCCTGATCATGTAGTCTTCAACCCAACAAACTTTTTGCCTGTACCCTCCTGCTTAAATTTAACCATTAAATTAGATTCCTTAGTTTATTTGATTAATTTTGTGTCTCCGGCATTTTTTTGATATCATATTGTTTTAAAAGGTAATAAGGAAATAAGTCAAATTTTACAACAAGAATAATTTTATGAAATTAAGTAGTTTTGTTTAACTAGACCTGATTTAAGCAAAAGCTTTTGTAAAAATATTTTTTTGTTTTTATTTTAATATCAAATTAAGACTTTAATATAATTTAATTAGATTAACTATCCTGTTGGTTGTTTGTAAATTAAATGTTGACCATTTTATAAAATGATTCTGGTGCAGGGGCGGACCGTTGACTTTGGGGGCCCTGGGCTAAAACAAGAAAAAAATAACACTTATTTTTAATAAAAAATGCTCTTTTAGTTTCACCCTTACTTACTAAGAAGTCCCAGAAGCCAATTGAATGGCTTGAGCGGGTTAGGGGTAGGAACGGACCGCGGGCTTAAAGTCCCCTCCGAAGGACTATAACACAATAGGAAAAACACAAATAAACAGCCATACCCCTGGTGGGATTCGAACCCACGACCTCCGGCTTGTAGTCAGCAGCACTAACCACTAGTCCACCGTCGGCGATTAAAATAAATGAATAACATAAATAATATATAAATAAAACATTCCAGCATTTATACAAGGTGACCTGTACAATGCAAGGCCACATATTATAACCTATAATTTTTGAAATGTGTTTTTACCTATTTATATTTAATTTCTATGCTTTTACCGGTGTAAATAAATTTCTTTGCCTCTTCTTATACATAGTATATTCTTTTTCTATAGGTACTAGTTTTTTCAATACACGTTATCCAATTCTCCTACATGTTTAATACAAAATAAGGAAGAATATAAAACAAACCTGCATATAATTCCTCCACTTGTGGAGATTCCACAATATGGAGCACCCTATCATTTATTTTTACTGACAACACCCCGTTTACCATTTTAAAAGTTTAAAGTTTAAATTCGGTAAATACCATGAAATACTATGGTTTAGTGATGGGAGAATCGAATGATTTTAAGAATCGAATACTTTGCATTCGAATAGTCTAAAGAATGCAGAGAATCGAATAGTTTGTTCCGAATCGGAACCGATAATAGCCGAAAACATTTATTGAATGAATGTTTTCGGAACAAATTATTCGATTCTCTGTATTCGAATGGTCATTTTATTTCTTGTTTACAATTCGTTATGGGCTAAGCGGGTTGGCGTCGCACTGGGTGCAATATAAATTTTAAACCGGCTAATATACCTACTAATTGATTTATGACATGCTTTCTTTATTTTTGTCATAAAACATAAACCATATTATTTGTCAGGTTTTGTAAATAGGCGAAAATTTATGGCCTATTTTAATAAAATAAAAAAGTATGCCCTTTATTTTTAATAAAATAATACCTTTTGATTCAAAATTAAAATCCTTAAGGAAATAGTCACCAAAATTCAACATTCTTTATTTTTAATTTGGTTGGAACGTCGGTTATATGTTTTATTTTTGTGACATTTAAAAAGTTTTAATAATAATTGTTAGATAATTATTTTTTTGTTATATATACTAGATTTTAGTACATATTAAAATTAACACAAGCAGTGCTGGTCCAGCACCCTTGGTGCGATTCGTAAGTAAATAAATAACCATGTTAAACGTCTCATAAATTGCTATTGTATATAATATCCTTTTAAGAGGGCCACACAGTGTGTGGCACACACTAAGGGGTTTGGTGCATTTTTCGTAAGAACTGAATGTATTAGGGACTCTAAATTAGAGTTAGTTTTTAGTAAGATTCCTTGTTGAACACTAGTGCATAATTATTAGTAAATTACCTTAACTACCCGTGTTTAATTAAAATACATCTATAACACAATGAAACCTGGATCCAAAAAATCTGTTGTTTGGAATTTTTATAAAAAAAGTGACGATAACAAGTTAGTGACGTGTCAGTTATGTAAAAAACAATTTAAGTATTTTGGAAATACTACAAATTTATCCAACCACCTTAAACGAATTCATCCCTTGGCGTTTAATTCAGAGACTGAATTTCCAGCAGCAACTGACGCAGAAGTGAGTGAACCAATTCCAATTACATCACATTCATCAGACAATACTTCACCCTTTCATCCAGCTCAACAGTATCAAACCAAGATAAACAAAGCCCAGAATCATCAAACTGAATTAGAGATACTTTCAATACCAAAACGTCCAGGTCAATTAAAATTATTTGGTGTACGAAATAAAGGTGACTTATCAGAAAAAGAAAAATCCGAACTACATAATTGTATTGTGCAAATGATTGTTACTGATTTCCAACCGCTAACTTTAGTAGAAAATATTGGATTCTTAGCATACACAAAAAAACTAAATCCACTTTATACACCACCAAGCCGAAAAACATTTACAAATAAAATAATTCCAGATTTATATAATCGAGAGAGAGCAAACGTGAAGAAAATTCTAGATGAAGTTAATCATGTTGCTATAAAAACCGATATGTGGTCTTCAGATAGTAATAAATCATATATTACTGTTACATGTCATATCATTTACCAAAACAGGTTCATTTCACGAGTTTTAGCTACAGAGGAAATAACTGTCAGCCACACAGGCAAAAATATTGCTAACGCAATATCTAATATTTTTGAGACATGGGGTATAAGTGATAAAGTGGTAACAATTGTTTTTGACAGTGGTGCAAATATTAAAAATGCCATTAATGAACACTTGCACAAGTATCATCATCCCTGCATTGCCCACACCTTAAACCTAAGTGTAAATGAGAGCCTAAACAATAACGAAATCTTAAATGTGATTTTAAAAAAATCTCGTAATTTAGTCACGCATTTTAAACATAGTATTTTAGCTTCACAAAAACTGCGTGATATCCAACAAAAAATGAACCTCCAAGTGCTAAAAGTAAAGCAAGACGTTTCCACAAGGTGGAATTCTACATTAATAATAATAGAACGTCTTGATAACTTAAAGACTCCGCTAACTGTAGCATTATCAGAACTGCCAAGGGCTCCAGAGTGTTTGGATGCTTCCGAATGGGAAGTTATTTTCGATTGTATACCCCTGTTAACACCGATAGCAAATATGACGACAGAGCTTTCCGGAGAAAAATATCTGACGATATCTATAGTAATACCACTAATTAGGGGACTTCAAAGCTCTCTAAGAATATATTGCCCCAAGACAGAAGTAGGAGAAAAACTAAAAAAGTCTTTAGTTGAGGTGATAGCGCGAAGATTAGGGTCTATAGAAACTAATGAAATACTAGCCAAGGCTACCCTTTTAGATCCTAGATTAAAAAAAACTAGCTTTTGGTTTAGACGAAAACGCCGCTAATGCACAAAAATTGGTTTTAGAAGAACTAACCCAAATAATTTCAAAAAATAGTGTCTCGACATCATTTACCACAGAAGAAATCATAATTTAAAAATGGAAAAATTTATTATTGTTAAAGATTTTTCAAAAAATGTTCGACGCTTCAATCTTCAAGGTCGTACACTGGAGTTTAAGTTGCGAGACCCACCTTCAAGGGAGGAACCTGTGGCATGGGTGAAAAATGCCATTGGTGATGTCATCAAGAAAGCCACAGAAAATCTTTTACCGAAGGATCAAGTAGCTTTTAATTTTGGCTGTAAAGACCTCTCTAGAGGCCAGGGGTGGGTACGTTTTAAATCAGCAGATGGGGTTACACTAGAGGATGTTTGCGGTGTTATCTCCAGCATCTACCAATCCAACTCCATGGGTCTAAACACCGAGACGTTTTGTCTTGGCGTTACCACCGTCAGGATACCTGCAGGGAAAGGGAGAGGGAAAAACTACAACCTTGATGAAGAGTGCGCTAAGCGTCAGGGGATAATCGCTATTAAAAATAATGACAATTTATGTCTACCTCGAGCTCTTGTCGTGGCCAAGGCTTACGTAGACAAAGACCCCGACTATGTTAAAGTGCGTAGGGACATTGGAAAAGTGCAGACTGTGAGAACCCAACAATTATTAGAAAAAGCAAATGTAAGGATACCTGAAGAGGGGGCTGGTATTCCTGAGCTCCATCAACTCCAACAGTATTTAACAGGCTATAGGATAGTAGTTTACAAATACGGCTGTAAAGGCCGTGACATAATTTTTTCGGGGCCTGGGGAAAAGAAAAGAATTAATTTAATTCACCACCAGGGGCATTATAATGTTGTAACGTCACTAACAGCCACCTTCTGCTGCAACTATTATTGCGAGGAATGCCATGTTCCACACGATCACAAAAAAGAGCACAGATGTGTTAAATCTTGTCCGGCATGCCAGAGGTCTCCACCATGTAAAGTAGGGATTAAGGTTAAATGTGCTGACTTCCTTCGCACATTTAAAAACCAATAATGTTTTGATAACCATAGTCAAGTCGGCACGGCGGGGTCCATCTGTAATCAAATCCGACTCTGCCCCAACTGCCTAAAAACTATAAAGGCTAATAGAGAGCATACATGCGGGGAAATTTTTTGTAAAATTTGTCAAAAACACCAGCCACAAGGGCATTTGTGCTTCATGCAGCCAGATACAGGAAAGCCAAAAACAAAGGATGTACTTTTTGTTTTCTACGACCTGGAGACTAGACAGGAAAAACTCAACGGTGACGACCTGGAACACGAGCCGAATTTGTGTGTTTTCAAACAATGCTGTGATGTGTGTATTAAAACATCAGATATTATTTGCAAAAAATGCGGAGTAAGATTGCAAAAACTCCTCAAAGAGAACCCCATTGCCACCTTTATGAATTACATTTTAGAAATAAGAAAAAAATTCAAAGAAGTTGTTGTGCTGGCGCACAACGGCCAGGCCTTCGACCATCAATTTATTCTAAGCCACATACTAAAGAAAACTGACCTAACCCCAGAGTTAATTATGAGAGGAACCAAAATTATATTGATGCAACTACAAAACATCAAAACTACAAAACATCAAATTTTTGGATTCCCTTAATTATTTTCCCATGCCGCTCTCAGTTCTCCCTAAAGCATTTGGGTTAAAGGAACTAAAGAAGGGGTATTTTCCCCATTTATTTAACACCTTGGAAAACCAATCGTATGTTGGCCCCCTACCACCGACCGAATATTATAGCCCTGACACGATGAAACCAGAGGCACGAGAGGAATTTTTAAAATGGTATGAGGATCATAAGCGAGACCAGTTTGATTTTCAAAAAGAGTTCATCGATTACTGCGTTTCCGATGTAGAAATTCTAACAGGGGCCTGTCTAAAATTTCGAGAGCAGATAATAACAACCACCAATGTTTGCCCATTTACCAACGCCTGCACCATTGCCTCCACCTGCAATAAAGTGTTTAGGAGAAATTTTCTTAAGCCAAACACAATTGGTATTATTCCTAAGGGTGGATATAGAATGACAGATAACCAGTCTATGATAGCTTTGAAATGGCTGGTATGGGAAGAAAATCAGAGGAAAATTACCATACAGCACGCAGGCAGAGGGCAAGAGGTGCGTTTATCAGGGTTAAAGGTTGATGGATTTTGCGAAAATCAAGTTTTCGAGTTTCAAGGATGCTATTATCACGGATGCCCCAGATGTTTTAAGCACCAGCGCGACGAGCCTCTATCAGATGATCCTACAGAATCAATGAATTTCCGGTACGAATCCACAGTAGCAAAAATCGAGAGACTTAAAGTAGCAGGGTATAACGTCATTGAAAAATGGGAGTGTGATTTCCGACGGAAAATGCGCGAGAACACCGAAATATTAAAATATGTCGAAAATAATCCGTTATTATCCCACTCGCCTCTAAACCCGCGAGATGCTTTTTACGGGGGTCGTACAGGAAATTGCAGGACATATTACAAGACCAAAGGGGTTGAAAAAATCAAATACCTGGACGGTTGCTCCCTTTATTCTTGGGTATGTAAATACGGCAAGTACCCCGTTGGTCACCCAGTTTTTGTTGGCGATCAATGCAAATCTATAAATTTGCAGGAAAAAGACGGAATAATAAAATGCACTGTTTTACCACCTCGAAATTTGTATCACCCTGTTTTACCAACAAAAATGAACAATAAATTGATGTTTGTTCTCTGTCGTACCTGCGGACAAAACCTAAGCGCCGAGGAATGCCAACATACCGAAGAAGACCGCGCGCTATCGGGTACCTGGGTAATTGATGAGGTGCTTAAGGCCCTAAAAAAGGGGTATGAAATATTGAAGATCGATGAAGTGTGGAAATACAGGGTGGAACAGTACAATATTGATCAAAAAAACCGGGGGCTTATTCGTTGAAATGATGAATAAATTCATTAAAATTAAGCAAGAGTCTTCAGGGTGGCCCGGAAATAGTGCATCCGATGAGCAAAAGAGCAAGTACAAAGAAGAATTTTTCAATCGCGAGGGCATTAAATTAGAATTTGACGCAATTTTAAATAATCCGGGGCTTAGATGTCTGGCCACGCTTATGCTAAACAGTTTTTGGGGGAAGTTGGGCCAGCAAGAAAATCAGCCAAAGACCAAGATTGTTAACAACCCCGAAGAGTTCTTTAATATGATGACTAACCCATCCATATACGTGAATTCTGTTTTACCAATCAGCGAAGACTCTTTGGTAGTTAATTACTCGTTTAAAGAGGAAAGTTACGAACCCATATCTACGGTAAATGTTTGTCTGGCAGCGTATACCACATCTCAAGCACGACTTAAACTCTATAGTTATTTGGAAGAGTTGGGCGACAGGGTGTTGTATTACGACACCGACTCCGTTATCTTTACTCATAAAGATGAAGAGTTTGAACCCTCAACAGGTCATTTTATCGGAGATATGACAGATGAATTAGAGTCTTATGGTCCAGGGAGCTTCATTAAAGAATTTGTTAGCGGTAGTCCAAAAAACTACGCCTACAAAGTTTACTCCACTACCGAAAAAGAAGAAAAGGTGGTGTGTAAAGTTAAGGGAATCTGTCTAAATTATAACGCGTCACTACTAGTAAACTTTGACTCCATAAAGGAAATGATTTTAACTGATTCTGAACCAGTTAAAATCATATCAAAAGCCATTATACGAACAAAAGAGCACGAGGTGGTAACAAGGGAGGAAACTAAGATATATCGGCCAAACTCTCTGAAAAGAAAATTTTATGCAGATCATTCCTCGCAGCCATACGGTTTTAAACGCGCGAGGGATGATGTTTAAAATAAAATATATGTAGTTTTATAAGATTTTTGTATTATAGATATTTTATAGGTTTTATGTGAAAATTATTAATAAATTATAATTTATATCAATAAAGAATTCCAATAAATATTTTTATTATTATATTTCCCTAAAGAAAATAGTGATGACATCATTAGAGGATATTGCGTAATACAATAATACTCTAAAACACCCCAAACTTTTACAACATTTATACTCTAGGTAATCAGACAAATTATAAGGTTCTATGTTAATTAGGCTGTCAAAACATGTTTTTATAACTAGACATTTTGGTGATCATTTGAATATTCCTAGGTAAATTATTAAAAATGACAATACAAGAATAATAATAACAGCCTTTTTCTTGAGGCATTGAATAGGATATCTTAATACTTTATTAAATAAGAGAGAAAGATATACAATATTAGATACGTACTGAAAAATTATATATTTATTAGATAAGAGAGTAAGATATACAATATTTTATCTCGCTCCAATAATTTCATAACCCTAAATTAGGTAGTTCTGTTTTCCAAAAACGCCATAATTAATTTTATTTAAATATTAAAATCGAGTAACTATAATAAGCGCATGCGCACCATGGTTGATTTTGCGCTAAAAATATTTAATTAAGATTATTTAAAAATATAGAACACACGCCTATAAAGTGTATATTTTCAATAACTGCAAAACAAAGAATTATCTAAAAATCATTTAAATAAAAAATTTTGAGCCCAAATGCTGCATAATATTCTACAAAAAGCCGAACAATTTAAAATCATAACCTTTTAATTAGAGGATATTCCACAAGGAATTGAAGTTTTTAAATTCATATAAGCGGTGAGTAGTAAATGATATAAGTATATCAAAAAGAGCAATTTATAATAAATTTTAAGTTAACTCACCCCATATGTGGTAAGTGTGTGTACTAGTGTACTGTATATACCTAACCCTTAAATGACAACGGCCCACTTTGCAAGTTCGGTCTCACGGATGCCAGGGTTGGTACTTCTTTGATAGCCATCAGGCAACAAAAACGTACACTGTATATACTGTAACGGGTAACAGAAGATTTATTTATTTTAATTTTAAATAGTTAAATGTAGGCAACCCAGTTATCATGGTAGGGAAGATGACGTAGCACGGCGCATGGTATTT